GGACCCTAATGTGTAAGTCGCGCAGTTCGATCAAGCCATCGGTACTTGACGATGTACTTGTGGTGAGATCAAGCAGAAATCTTGTGAACAAAGGAGAATAGCAGTCGAGAGGTACACTTAACTTGATTTGAATAAAATTATCGCTCAACTTTTAAAAAGGTGTATTGGATGCCTTGAATCAATTCACTGGCTTTGGCAAAATCACTGCTGGGTAGCCCAGGTACCCGAAGGATCCTGTCGGGTGGGTACGGGTACCCCGAAATGCCTTGAGAAGACATTCGGGTCGGGCGGGGTAACCCGAAGTCCTCCAATTGCGAGCCCAGGTTTGCAATGCTCCTCTGCCTTGAAAGATCCCGCTTTAGGGAGGCATCTGCACCTGCTGATGATAGCCGATCACTACGTTTGGGATAGACGTCGCCAGCACTGGGACGCTGACATTTACCACTGTCCACATCCGAGCACTCCCGATCGCAGCCTCGACGTTCATCATGCAAAACTGAGTCGCCTCGTCCTTCAGAGAGCTCTTTTTCGCTTCCATCTCGCCCAGTGCGCTCTCGCTCACCACCACCTCATACTTCGACCCGTTTGGCACAGACGCCATCTCCATCGGATCCCTCTCGTCCGCCACAGATACAACATCAGCCAGAAGAACTCGACACTTCCAGTTAGTGGTGAGACAAATTTTTAATAACCCCAATGGGTCAGCACGACACATCCGGAGAAACCCTCGAACGTTTTGCTGTTAATGGATCTTCATTTGCAAAAATCACGGGAAAACTCCTGGAGAAGTTCAGCCCTCGCATTAAAGGGCGAGCTGTAAAACCTGACGGAACATGGTCTGTGAAAGTACCTGCAATGCGTGAATGAAGTCGTGTGAAGCAGTTTAAAAGGAAGCGCAGTAAGAATAGGCAATTGCAATAGCTTCCTTGTGCACACCTGGTACCGCTCCGGTCTTATCTGTGGCCAACAGACAGGTGCCGGGGGACCCACGTACGTCTGGTGCTCTACTAACACACACTAAGATCGAATATACATAGCACTTCCACGCACAATCCTTGCGGTCGTCTGGCGCTACGAGTCTCTAGTGATCTTGCAGGTCGTCCAGGGCTGCGTCGCGGGCTAATCTACCGCAGTGGGCTAAACTACTACGAGGGCTCCGATACCTCTCTGTGACTGTCCAGCACCTGGTGGGTAGGCTGCTGATACTCCTCTCGACCTCACGGGGCTGCTGATACCCGTTTCCGTCCACACACTAGAGCTTCGTTCGGGCACTACGCAATGCTTCTCCTGTTACGGCACTTCACTTCGGGGCTGCAGTTGCACTGCAACTCAGCACGTTCTCTTCTTCAGTTCTTCTTATTCGGAAGTTAAACCTCGCAGCTGTCTTCTCTCTACTTCACAGCAAATCTAAGACTGACTGCCTACTTCACATGCATTCTGCCTCGCGGCCTTTCCGGATTCTGCGATCTTCTACAGTTGCGGCCTTCTGCGGTGAAGGAGAACCGCTCAATCCAGTCAGATGTCGCCTCTCCTCTACTCACGGTCTTCTGCTATGCTTCCACCACGCGTTCGCACTCCTTGAATGTACCCAGACCGGTACAACGTCCTGCGGGACCTTTGTCTCCGCCACCACTATCGCCGTCATCCTTC